AAAAAAAAAAAAAAAAAAAAAAAAAAAAAAAAAAACATACAGACGAATTGAGTACCTCCTTCTTTTGGGAAGTCGGTCAAAAATGATAATATGTAGGTGCGGCACGTTTTTAAAATCACGTTTTTATATTTGAGTAGTTCGCTTTGATTTTTTAATCTTTAACAGAAAACAACTTAACAATAAATTTAAAACATTTACTACATATTTTAAATAAACACTGATATACGGACAAAAATCTAATTAAACTTAGCTAGTGTTCAAGAACAGGTACTTTGAAATTAAGTTTGGTCTTCGTATGTCCTTAAATAGTATCTACTATGCTTAATTAAAGCATAGAATAACTTTGTTCTATGCTAAGCTAGTGTTAATTTTGCATGAATATTAACAACCACATTGATTTCCAAATATCTTCGTGAATGTATATATAAACTTTAAAAAGGTCGATATGGGTGAAAACCTCTTCAGTTCAATCAGTGAATCATAAGAGGAAAGATAGACAAGTATCCGTTCTTATTAAATGAATGTCTTTTGTACAGTGGAAAACCCGCGCCACTCGGACTTCACGAAGCTGCGCACGATGCTGATCTCGACGCACATGCAGGACCTGAAGGATGTGACGCAGGACGTCCACTACGAAAACTTCCGCGCGCAGTGCATCTCACAGATATCGCAGCACGCGTTGCGCGAACGAGGGTACCTCACGCTTACCTAACAAACCTTACATATATGTATATAGCTATTCATTCTTAAGTGAGTAATGAGATTGAATGAGGATGTCTAAACGTGAGGAAGACGAAGGAAAGGATGGATGGAATGAATGAAAGTACGTGTAAGAAGGGACTAAATTTAGATATTACCTAAGTACATCTGATAAAGACAAAAGAAAAAAACGTTTTAGTTTGTTATCCTTATACTTTATTTTTGTTTGCATGTTACAGAAAATTGAAGAGAGATTCCATGGGCAACAACAATGAAGTAGTTATTACAGACACTGATCGTTTATTGCTACAAAAAGATGAAGAGGTAATAATAATTGATATATTTTGTATAGACGTTAGCGTATTAGAAGCCCAGCATGAAACAAATGAAAGGAGGGAGGGCAGAACTTGAAAGGAGAAGGGAGAAATATTCATTTACCTAAGGAATTGAAATAAACAAAAACTTGTATCTCCCAACAGTTCACGACAAGTAATAATGAAAAATTACTTTTATGATCTGATCAATTATTTTAGCAAATAATTTTTAATGATATTTTATTGTTGACAGTTGCAAAGTCATGTGGAGGTAACTTTTCAAGTAGATTATAAACAGTTCAAAAGTTATAGTAACTTCAAATAAACTCAATAATACCCTCATAAATTAGATGTTCTACTTCTTGTATGAGCGACACATACGCATGGTTTTGTATTTGAAATTGTTCGTCATTATAGTCATGAGTCTATCTCATATTTCATTTTTCTAGTGATGAAACATCCTGCATGACTTCGCCTAGTGATGTCAAATGTTTTCCTCCATATTCAGCTATGTATTATTTTCTTTTAAATTAAAATCAACTTCCGTAACATTCGATTTCACTTGCAGATCCGACGCATGCAGGACATGTTGACACAAATGCAGGAGAAACTCAAGGCTTCCGATAAAAAGCACGACAGCATTATAGATGTATAAAAATAGACTGCAATATTTAGTTGTAGCGTTATTTATGAACTTATTATATGATTCCTCCTTTATGGTGGCCTGCGGTTAGTTACGAGAAAATGCCTCAAGCGTTCTCTGTGGGTGGAGAAAAGCTCTTTCAGGAGCAGCGTGCGCGCTCGCCAATACCGGAGCATCGTCTCGAAATTGCGAGCTGCCATAAAGTTTGAATAGCACTGTACCTCTTCCCCATAGATAGTAGTTAACTGTAAAACCTCTTCGACGTGTTCGGAAGAGAAAGAGTTCATTATCAAATACGGGAACTAGGTGTAAATATAAATATTAATTAGTTAATTAACTAGATATTCTGCTGATTTTAGAACGAAATATATATTCTATTTGTATTAATAGTCTAATAAATGATCGATTTGTCTATTATTTTTAAATGTTTAAATTTTTATCTGTTTGGACGATGACGTTAAATTAATCTAAAAACATTAACTTTGTAATTAAAAAATAAACGAATACATTTTTTGTTTATAATTAAATTTTTGACTAAAATTATTAACTAAGCACCACTAATACACGAAACAAAAATCACCGAGTCAGCCACTAAGTAACTTACCCGAGCTAAAAAATTGTAGGCAGTACATATAATAATTACATTTTGACATGTCACTTACAAAAACAATAGCACGAAAATTTAATCAGAAAATGGAAAATCAATTAATTTAGTTAACTGAAGTGTGTAAAGATAGTAGTAGAATTTGTGTAAAATGGTTTTATTATGTGTTTAATGACAAATAGAAATTGTAGTTAATAAATGAATAGTCAATTCTCACGAGATAGAAACCAACATTTTTTTTTGCCGTAAAATCTGTATCTGTACAACGACAATATTTTATCACTTTCATTCTATTTTCAAAAATAGAGAAAGCAATATTGTTCAAAAACAAGTGTCACATTTGCAATTTTGCATTTTGCATTGCATGTACTAGTTATGTGTTTCAACAACAACAACAACAAACAAAATCAACTTAATTATAGTTAAATTGATAAAATATTTATTTATATAAAATGTCGACATTTCATTTCATTGAGGCCTAAAACTGTTTAATTGTAACAATAGCTCAAAAATTTTGTTTCGTCAATATACACAGTTATAAATAATTTCATTTTAATACTAACAATGGTTGTAACAAAGTTTTATTAACGTTAACATTTGTATTATTTACTGTAAGCGAACTTTAATATTATAATTGTAAGCAATGATATTGATGTACGTGTAATTAAAATTTTTCCTTTTCATTTTTCTTTACAAGTGTTATAAAAATAACTCTTAGGCAAATTTATCTATTACTGTGTATATTAATATCTAAAAAAAGATTTTTCAGCAAATATGTTTGCTTGAGTATGACAAAAAGTTAATTTATACCAAAGTTTTATGATGTGATTTTTATGTATCAAGATTTATATAGTAAATTGATACTTTACGTATAAAGGTATTTTATTTAAAAAAAACAGGGTAATGGCGTTTACCTATAACAATAACAAAATTTTCTCGGATCTACAAAATTAAAAATTTATTACTTAAATACTTATTATCAGAATATAACCAATTTTCATTATCTTTTTTTTGTTTTATACATAACCGTCGCCTACGAACATATTTTAGTTCTGTGTGACTATAACTTGCTATTTTAGTCTTTTAATGTACACTTCCTCTGGAGATCACATCAAAAAATTCCATCATGTATATCTAAATACCTTGTAAAATCCTCATCATTACTATCATCAAGATTTGATGATATAAAATATCAAACTTCTGTGGCTTTTAGTATGACTTGTTTAAATGCCGGCTATCAGAGCATGTCCATATCTAGGCAAAATACATATATAACTGTTACCACAAGTTTTTTTTTTAAATCAGGCATTTCAAAGTTCGTGGTGAACTTGGATTATCCTTTTTTTTCAAATTCTGTAATTATTTGGGTTTTGCTGCTTATCTAAAACACATGAAGGTAGTTTTTGGTAGAAAATGAAACCATAGACGAACTTATCAAAAGCCGTTTTCAGAATCTGTTTGTAGCAACTGTTTAGCTGTCAAATTTATCAAATAGCAAATCAAAAACCAATTTAGGGTTAACTTTACTCTTAATGAATGATACGTAGTACATCATTTATTGTTTTGTTGAACATATAAAAGTAAAAAGTAATATTGCTTAATTATTATGCGATAGTTGGACTTTCATGCAACTTTTTATTAACAATGGCTGACAGAGATTTATCCATGGGTCCGCGAGACGGGATAACATATCCTATAAAAGTGCAGTATTGTGGAAATTGCTCTATGCCAATTGAATATTGTGAATATTATCCAGAATATGATAAATGTAAGCAATGGCTCGAGAAGAATTTACCTACAGAATTCGAAAAAGTGAAAATAGGTGAGTATTTAAAAGATAGGTTATACCTAACATTCTATCCTACAGTTCTCGTAAATTTATTTTCTATAAAACATTTGCGTTAAACATTTATTCAAAGATGAGGAAGAAAACGCTGGAGGGGAAGAAGAAAAGAAACGTCAAAAACGTGGAGGCAAGGGTATGCTTAAATCTAAGAAGAAAGAAGATGTTCCTAAGCTTGTGCAAGTCTCCCGAGCGCCAAGAGGAAAGAAAAAATCTGTCACTGTTGTTTCTGGATTGAGTACATTTGGTTAGTTATTTATTCTTAAATTTGTAACATCTCAGCAGGTAATTTCATATTTTTTTAATGTTACTAGCTCTTGCTTTAACTATTATTTGACTGTTGTGATTCCTATTATATGTAACCAGGGAATGTTAGAAAGTTGCTTCTCTAATAAACTGTGGGTGTATAAAATAATTAAATCTTTATATTTCAGATATAGACTTGAAAGTAGCTGCAAAGTTTTTTGGTACCAAATTTGCTTGTGGCTCTTCTGTAACTGGTGACGATGAAATAGTTATTCAAGGGGATGTCAAGGATGATCTATTTGATGTTATACCAGAGAAATGGCCTGAGGTAAACTTTGCTTATAAGTGTTTTAAAACTTAATACAGAAAAAAATAATTTACAGTTTGGGTGATAAAACTTTATTTTTGGATATGGTCTATTCGAAATATTTCAATTATTTGCTTTATGTCTAAGTATTGTACACAATTACATTTTATTTAATTTGTTCAACATATATTGTATCTGGTTCCAGATTGATGAGGACAGCATCGAAGATTTGGGTGATCAGAAGAGATAGTCACAAACTGCAAAAGTGTTATGGCATTGCTTTAATTTCTATTTTAAATGCACAAATTACAACTTGCTAGTTACACAGCAAATTCTTGACCTCAATCTAAAATAGAAATTGAGCATTGGTGATGTTTTATTTATTTTGTGAGCTTCACAATATATGTGATTATTGGAAATTTAAATTTTATTTTAAAATATTTTCCACTATTATGATGTATGAAGTTTTATAACTATGATGTTGCTTTTCATTTGTGCGCATTCAGTAAAATAAAGCACATTATCTTAAACATTATAAATTGTATAAAATCAGCTTTGTATTTCATTGAATAAAAGGGGTTAAAACAAGCTGTTTTGAGATAACTACGAAAATCAAGAAATAAAAAGAAAATAAAAGTTAAGTTAAAGGTAAAATAGTTCAATGAATATACATGACATAAAAGACCTTTATATAGTCTGTTTAGAAATCTATAATTAATCTCAGATGTTGCCACTTACAATATTGGAACGTTGTTTGGTAGAAACTAAGGTAAACTTTATCACAGTCTAAGCTAACAAGAATTAGATATTCTTTATTACTAATCGAAAATCTTAAAAAAACACTACATATTTTAACTGACAATAAATTAAAATATGTAGTGTTTTTCCATTCTACCTATAAATTTTACAAATCAAAGAGTGATTTCAAAGTTCTTATCAACCATTAGTTTTCACTTTTTATAGTAATTAAATGGGCTCGGTAGAATTTTTAAAATCTACCAATGAGTAGAATTACTATTTTGCCTTTGGCAATATTGCTACAGGATTATTCTATGGCAATACAGTCTTTACTTTGCAAAATCAAACACAACACAAAATAAAATCACTTTTCTACATTTTGCGTTCATTGTGTGTTGTGTTTTGGCACTGTTACAATGATATATTAGTGCTAGTGAGAACAAAAATATAGATGGAAACTTGAAGGAAGTGATTATGAGCACAAAATCAGAATGTAGCGCTTAGTCAAGTTCCCTAACCGAGTTTTCCAAAATTATAGTATCGATCTTTTTTGTCCTCAAGTACAAGTGTATATAAATAAAAACTGAAAATGTCTGTGGTTAAAGGAAAATTAGTGAAAATGGAAGTTATTCAAGTTGGTGAATATGAATTCACCAAACAAGATATAATTGGGCACGGAGCCTTTGCCATGGTGTACAAAGGAAGGAAGAGAAGGGTACGCACCTATGATTTTATCTCATTGTTTATTTTCGTTTGCTATTGTTTTTATCATTCCTGCATGTTTGTTTATTTGGTAATTCTAACCTTAATATTTGTAAAATATACTGCTTCCCTTAATATTGATTTACCTCGGCTGTAGGTGGCACAAATGTCATACGTTTAATTTAAGATTTCAACTGCCAACGAAAGATACAAGTGCAGCAATTACCATAAAAATATATGATATTTTTATTTGAGATTCATTATCAAGGTAGATCTAATATTTTTTGTACAGATTTACTTCACTTTCTACTTTTACTTATCTGTAACAGTGATTTTTAATATTTTACTGAGATATTTTCTTTTACATTTACATCTTCAGAATAACAAAAAATATCGACTTTATTCCCAAGATTATTATTGGTTACATTACTTTGTTGGTTTTTTATTTTACTGTAAAACTGTATTTCTGATGATTACAAAAACAACCCACCCTGCTCAAAAGAATTATTTTTGCCTATATTAACCATTACTAGGTGGAATTGTTGCTAAATAGTACCATTTTATGTTAATACATGGTGGCATGGTACTTTAAAAGTTTTAATGGACCCTGTGAGTTATACACATGCAATTTCTTTTCTTCAAATTCTGACTATCACTATACCTAGAGTCAACGGAAATAAAAAACCAATACTTTCAAGTCTACTCCTCATAAAAAATTATTGAGAACTAGCTGTTCCCCTGCGACTTCATCCGCATCAACTTATGACAATGTTATTTTATAGTTTACATGTATCAAATAAACAATTGCAAATGTCAAAATACCAAATACCTTACAATGGCAATTTTGCTTTCTTGATGTGGGCAGCAACTTATGGTCTCTTTCCCACATTAGGGTTTTTATCCAAAAGATTTATCCCTTATGTTTAATGGTGTGAAAATACATAGTCTAAAGCATGACGTAAGTGTGGATTTTTTAGTACAAAAAGAATTATTCAAAAATATGCTATAATTGCTGACATTTTAGGCAACAAAGAAGTGTGTGTTTACACTTTATTATAATAGTATAGATGAATAACTTAAAAGTAAAATTATTATAATTTTAATACAAGTACATTTGTTTTTTCTATATTAAAAAAAGAAATGAAACTAGCATTAATAATTTAGTATTTTATTTTGTTGAATATCTGTATATCTTTAAATTTAAAATACAAACATACAAAAGATGGGGAACAAAGACCAATGAACTTAGTATGAATTAAGATAATGTTGAGAAGTTCAAGCATTGTCAAAATAGTAATTGATCAGTTTTAAATGTACATTAAAATTTAACATGCAAGTTTCTTTACCCTGTATTATTTTTATTTTAAATCTGTTTCAAACAAGAGACTACTTTGCTCAAGGAATGAAATATTGTGCATACTTTAGCATATAAAATGCATATTCTATCATAGTAGATACTTCAGTAAGTTCAGTTCTTAGTAAGATACTTCATATCACATATGAAGTATCTTACTAAGAAAATAGGACATCCAAAATGAGGAGTTTAACTGGTAGTTGTTTAATAAACCAATCAACTTTGTGTTAGCTAGACACTGCAATGAGTCAACGCCCCACTTAATGTTTGCCTTAGTTGGATGTCAAACACAAAACTGAGAAAGAATACATATACTTGAATACACAATGCACACTTTACCAAATAAGTCCGACATCCGCACAGCTGTACTTATTCCAGTTTCAAGCTATTTCTGTCAAGCCCATTGACTCCTGATCAATTAATTTCTCGTAATTAAAAACGTAATTAATGACTGCAGTCCGTTAAATAATTGATCGACATATGGAAGTCAGTTAAATGCATTTTCTATAAGAAGTTGATGGACTATGATGATATACTCCGTATGTAGTGTGGTGGCTACGACAAGGAATCGCCACTGTGATTAAGCAAAAAATTGTTTTATTGCATTCATTATTAGCTTCATGAACGCTTTTGCAAAATTAGGATCAAGATAAAAAAGTTTTTACTTTAAAACATGTGCATTAATAAAAGTGATGTAAAGAATGTAAAATGATAAGTAACACGCATCCGCGCGTTTGAATTACATTATGCATACATTTATTCAAGTACGTACGTCCTTACGATGATGTCATGCCATATACAGAACCGTAATTAATAGAAAGATACTTAAATATTGTAGACAATAAATTGAACTACACGTGCGCTACAAAAATGACTATATTCGCTGTATAGCTTTTGTCAAGGTTTAAGCGAAATGCTTCACAACTCGTTGGTGAACCCAGTAGTTCTTACTGACCTCCTTTTACAATAAAGGTGTGGCTGTAGCTCATAAAGATTAACGATAAGACCAATAAAAGCGGTTTTGATCTTGTCTAATTCACTTAATTCTCTATTAACGTCTTGGATGTGTTCTTTAAAAAATCATTTAAGTTAATTCTATTTTCCTCGTTGTCATATCACGAGATTAATCTTTTTGACTAGTATCAACTATGAAGGAATTATCTTCGTCACATTTTTAATTATGACAATGAAATCTTATTTCCTTGCCTTGTTTTACTACACGCATAAAATGCTAAACGGTCTGATGAAATACTGGGTACCTACCTCAGCCCTAGATCCGCCCACAGCCCGTTTATTTAGTAAAAAAACATTTTCATTTGGATAAAAACTAAATCATGTTGTTGTTAGTATTAAGAATTATTTTTATTACGTTGATTACGAGGACGTGACAAAGGCGCCTGTAAGTCTAGAATGTGTACCGTGTTCCGGTTAGTGGAGGGTTCGGTTTCAAACCTTTTGTTTTTAGCTCGTGATACAATATATCGCAGAACAATATGCGACATGCTCCGCACATCTCAAGGCCAACAGACATTAATACGCAGTGTCCAATTTTACCTTAAACCTCATTTGCATGTTATCACGTTTATACGCTCGTTATCATTATGTTGTTGTTAATTTACATTCTTATAAAGAACTGCCTTCCATACAAGAATAACGCTACCGTTATACCCCTTTATAAGGCTTACGGAGTAAGCTTAGAAGTTGAGCATTGTACGTAGTAACTTAGAACCTATTTATTTAAGAATTAATACAAATGGGAAGCTTTTTCGTGCATTTTAAAACGTTTTAAATAAAACTTTCCGTCGTCGATTACAGTCACGTATATTGTTTAGGCTTGAGTTTAGTTTGTTTACGATACTTTTGTCTGATCTACTATAAATAAACTAATTAAAAATGAATACCACCTGCCTGCAATTAAATAATTTTAATTACTAAAGATATCACTAAAGTATTTAAAGTTTTCCATGAAGATTGCGACAATTTATCTTGTTATTATAAACCTTCCTTTTAGGATTAACGTAGGATTACTTTATAAGGCATCGTGGCTTTATATTATGTGCATAGTTGATTATTCGACTCTTTGTGACCAGATCGGTCTAGAAAAGATATACCCTTTGTTTATATTTCTCTACGTGCGGTTTCTTTTTATCTACCAGTATAAAGAAATACCTTGCATTTCAGTATAATTTTATGAGCGGACAGGAATTTTTACATTTTAAACCATTCCTTTAACAAAAAATTATGATCGAATCTTCTCATAAAGTAATTTAAAATCAAGCAGTAAAATACATTACTTAAAATTGATGTGTTCAGTTAAATATGAAATCAATCTAAAAGATATTGTAAATTTTTAATATAAATTACGCTCGTAATTTGGTACAAATAAATGATGTGCAATGTACCTACTGAAAGGCTGAAGCAACAGGCATGCAGTATGAGGGCGCGTGTTGAAATCGGGTCGATTGGTAGTGGCGATGGCGGCACGAGGCGAGTGGCGAGCCTGCGGTATGTAGGGCGGGCTAATGTTAGCCCAGCGCCGGCGCACCACCGGGCCCCCGGCACTAAATCAAAGCGAAGCTTCGAATATCCTTTGTGCTAAATATTGCACAGTGTTAGGTTAAAGATAGTCTGTTTGCTAAATGGTCACATGTAATTTAAAATATGTTTGTTCCCTTCTTGATTTCGCTTGTCCATTTTTGTTTGTCCACTGTTTGTTTTCTAATTATACTTAGGGTATATTTATGCTCACTAGCTGTAAGAAGAACAAAAGCTTCCACATTAGCTTCATATCTGTTATTAATTTTGAATTACCATTGTTATGTTACTTTATGTTTTTGTAACTTCTATGTGCAAGGTTTCCAGTTGGGCACCGTTTGTTTATTTACGTCTGAACACAATAATCGATTACGAAAGACTTTTACTAATCTCGGGTAGTTTTAATTAACAGGCAGATTGACTTTTTTCCTCTCTTAAGAGTAAATGTTAATAAAAATCGGTCTGGAATAGACCTTAGGGACCGTTTCTCGGTTTTAACCGTAAGGTATATATTGATAAATACATCTGGCTTATAACGTCAACATGTTATTGAACGCTTTGGGAAACATCAGCGTTTGTTTGTTACGTTTCCGTACTCTTTGGAAACAATCTCCGGTCTTATCCGACATCACGTTGCATCAAGCTATACACATTCTGTTCATATATTGGTTCTCTTTTATTTATCCTACATGTGAGTTCTAGAAGACGATGTAGTTCTTTGATAAATATCGATTCGCTTTAGTTATTCCTACACAGCATAAAGACTAAAACCTTTCAGAAATTTTGTCAAGAATATTGGAATAAAATGTTTTTAAATTTTCAATACATCTACATGATGCTGTAATTAACTTTCTATTATAAAACCACTACCAAGATATCAGTACATTCGGTACTTTACCGATTCTAGATAAACAGATAGACGGTGAAGTCTCAAATTTTGGTTCATTGACTTCTTAGCAGGTTTTTGCACTGATGGAAATAAAAAAGTTTCGTATTTCTACGTTTACCTGTTGTAAAACTTACTTGTATCTACGCTGACTCATTGTGCTCGTCTTCGGATTATATGTATATTCGTGTAATTATAAGAGAGTAGAATTTCTTGTTCATATGAGTCACGCAGTAATTGGGTTTTTATTGACAACACTTTTTTGTTTGTACTATTTTATTCTTGAATGTTCACAAAGGTTGAGTTCTTGATAATTGCGTATGTTAAATCATGTTTTCGGAGACAATTTCGTGAAACAAAATAAGATATTGTAAAAATAACAATGTCACGTAGGATAGGTTGATTCTTTGTACAATATAATTATGTTTGATTAATCAATTAATCCCAATTTAGTTTAATACATATATAGTAGCGAGTTTTGTTTACATAATAATCAGATTTAATCCAGAATGACGTAAATTGCCGCACGCAGAAACTGACGACAAGTTGCATATTATGTAGGTAATTACGTAGTAGTTTCAGGCATTATTTACCATTTTGTAAATAGAAAGTGCTAATATAAATAAAATAATATCGCAATCAAGGGGACATTAAATCTTCATGAATATGTCACCTTTAAAACATATGTAGTTGATGTATTTATATAGCTTATATAAAACGTAATGCCCCGGAGTCATAAAGTGGGCTAATCCGTATGTATATGCATCAAGATATATTTCATACGTTGGCGACGACGCGAATTTTATATGCAAAATGCAAATCATGGCATATGTTGCAGAATGCGTCACGCCATTCACATTGGAGTCACGAATTTTGTTGACTAGTTCTATCACTTTTAACTCTCCTACACCCTGTATAAGAGTATAAAATATTTATGTCAAACTAGCTTTCGCCCGCGACTCCGTTCGGGTGGAATTGAAAAAAATCAAAAGTAAGTAGCCTATGTGTCCTTCAGACTATCCTCTATATCTATGCCAAATTTCATAGAGATCCGTTCAACCGTTTAGGCTACAAACTATAATTAACATTCATCCATCCATCTAAACTTTAAAATATTTATAAGATTAAAAGTCTTTCGGTCATCACAAATATATAACTTGTATGCGATAGAGAATATAATAACTATAAAAATATAATAAACAAATGAAAATAGGAAAGTTCATTCACAGAATTTCAGGGAATTACTAAATCTCAAATTCTAAGTCTTCTTAAGTTGAATTCCTTTTTAGTTCTAATCTGAAGACATGGAATAATGCAAAAGTAATTTAATTGTACTGAACTGCTTACGGTTTGTTACGCATAACATAACTGTTTAGAAGTTAACTCCGATTTAACTTTAATGCTATCTTGATCTGCAGCTTGCGAAAGTAACAGTAAGTAATCATTCAGTTAATTGCATAGAAAAACCAACTGTGCGGTGCGTAGTTTTCCTACTCCGATACGATTCTAAGAACTTCTTAAATTGTCCTTCTCTTTAACCAATATAATATAAAAGAAAATGTTTTCTACATTTAATTAGCTACTTTAATATTTTGTATTGGTCTAGCCTCGACTTTTCTATAAAGTACAAGTTAACACACATTAGCTGTATGAAGTCTTATATCATTTGAAATACAACTTTTATTGTTACACAACTTATTGCAACCGTTTCAGTTGTACTAATTTATTTGTTACGTGTATCTATGTATCATACGTGCAATAGTTGAGTGCAATTTTAAATATTTTCAACTTTTACCTATAATTTGTCTAAAAACATCCAAACGTAGTTGAGATTGACAGTTATCCTGTAAACTGGAGAAACCACAACAAACATGACGATATTTACAAAGGTATGTCGCCATGTCTATAATTATGATAAAACTATATTTTAATACAAAGAAATGTTTTACACGTGCAGAGTTGAATAAATGTCACAAATCATTATTCATCACGCACATCCAATACACCTCAACACTAATGTATGCAACTTTTTATTGGACAATCAACATTATTGTTGTATGGTTTTTATACTAAAGTGTTATAAATATCGCGTGTCCCAGGCGATTAGGAAAACGCTGATCGCATTTATGCCCTTGGTCCTTCTCCGTTGTTTCGTCGCGGTGACGTCATTTTTAACGCGATGTGTTCTCCGCATTGCGATTTTGCATTCTGAATTTTTTATGCTTTCCTTCTTTCCGTATCTTTGGAGGAATAAAGCGTGGTAAATAATTAACACAAGTGAGGAACATCCAATGCTAAAACGTCTGTTGATTGTCTCTTTTAAAGTAGGACTTATCCGTGGGCGGTGTCCTTCATTCTTATGTTGACAATACCTTACGATTTTTAGCTAACGACAATCTCCTTTCCTTCTATGGCGCTTAGTTTGTTTCAAATGGCTTGCAAATTTATTTATATAAACGACGTAAAAACACGTTTGTGAATATAAAAAATCACACTTCATATTCATGATTATTTACATAGTTTAAAAGGTCATATTCTAATAAAGCACTATGTAAATTCTTGTAAAAAATCAATAAGTATTCAAAGAATTAATGCGATATCTAGATGCAAATAGTTTCAATGCATTGTTTTCATTGTATAGAACCCGTCGCAGTCGGTGGCGGTCAAAGTGGTGACGAAGAAAGGCATACAAAAGGCGTCGGAGATCCTCGTGAAGGAGATCAAGATCCTACGCGAACTGACGGCGCTGCACCACACCAACCTCGTCGCCATGCACGACTGCATGGACAGCCCCGCATATGTCTACGTTGTTATGGAGGTAAGTGTTATAATTTACTACATGCTTACCAATGTAATACTCAATTTAACGATATATTTTATTGTATTACTAATAGCTGTTAATTTATTGTTCAATGACACGTTTGTGTATAGTACGTTGGTATTATCATAATTTAGCGGTAAGCAACTGCTTTGAACCCATTCGTAATTCACTTACTAACGAATCGCATAATAGTCAAGGAACTCTCAAAGATAGAACGTATTAAATGCTTGTACCACTCTTGTCAGCTAAAGTACGCATCGCGACAATGATAGTTACGCAGATGTCTAAATACATATAAGCAAAACACGCTACATTTTTAACAGAACAAATTGCGTAATCCATAAGGCATATCAAGGAAGCACAATAAGCCAAGGACTTTGTAGGAATTTTAAATTACATTGTCACTATTTTAACAACAAAAAATAGTACTACTTAAATTATAAAGTTAAAAATTAATTATTTATATATTCAGCGGTTGACATCTTCCTGTATTTAGCTTTAATGTATTTACCACGTGGTCGATACATTCGCAAACATACTACGTAGTAAATAAACAAAGACAAATATTTTACATAAAATTTAGCTCTTTCATTATCAATATTATGTTAAGTAATTTTTATCATGTAACTGTTAAAAAATCCATAATTTTTTATAATTCGTGATATATTGAAGAATTACAACATCTAGAGAAAACAACAAACGACTACTAATAGAAGAGCCGTTTTATGGTCATCAACTTTTGTAAATCAAATTATTTTTATTTTCTCGACAAGTTCACTTAAATTGTATTCTCGGTAAGATCAGATCTTTTTATCTATACGTAATCAAAATCTTCCTATAAATCAGTAGTTATTTTAATTATTTGTAATGAGCTTGATATAGTCAAGAAGGCGATGTTTCATTAACATACAATGCAAACGTTACTCGATTGTCGTTTATTTAACTAATTACAAAGGAAATAGTGGTATTGGCGGGCGTCGTTAGCGCGTCCGTAACCCGCTGTCCTTGCACTTAATCCGACAATGATAACCGACTTTATTGGGTCGTCTAAATAACGCTATATGTTAATTTTGTACATACCTACATAGATAACAATGTGTTTTATATGAATAATCATTGACTACCAATAATGAGTCATTTTTTAATTGCCAGAATTAATACTTACTTTAAAATGCATACCCTTCAAAACCCGCTGAACGAGTCGATTAACCAACGGTTTGCGAGTCATTAGGTCCACTATTAAAAATACAATAAATACAGCACAATCAGTGCAATTCCTATAGTTCCAATTATTAATTGAATGAAAAACTAACATTAATTTAAGTGTAATATTGGCAAGTCGTATTAAACATTAGAAATCTTAAAACATCCTTCACCGTAGAAAATCTCGTATGCACGTCTTTGCAAGGCCACCGTAATACCAATATCTAATTTATTTTAAGTTTGAAGTACCAAAGGTGTTCATAAAAAAGCTTGAGCGCTTTTTAATAATTTACTCATAATACTATCGGAAATACGGAGCAGATATGGGATAGTTTATGTTAAAAGAAACTCGTCTCGGGTCAAATTTGATATGTAATCTGTATGTTGCTATGCGCACTATGTGATTGTTGAATAACAGTTTTAATTCATTGAGACTGAGACTATATGTGACTTCACACAATAACAAAGCCGCGGTTCATCTCTATCGTATATCGCTATGAATTGTTTGAAACATATACACAGTTTTTTTATGATAGTGAGACTCTCTCACGTGTCTTAACTTTATAACCACAGAGCAAATTGCATCGCCGCGATGCTTGTTATAACAAAAATAGAAGCTTGCTTTGGGCCGCGCCAAACGCTTCCGTGTATATAACGAGTGTTGTAATCATACACGGCAAGGTCAAAATGAGATCCACGCGGTCCGAAATGACGCTAAATTCAACATGAAGACTGTTCTATTTACCGACAACAAATGCTGCTACCTCGAGTAAATTACACGTTTATATGTCTTCGTTGTATTAAAATAATAATATTTTAATTTTTTATATCAGACTACACGAAAGCCAGTTTACCATATAAAGTCAAGTTATTCATTGGAGTTTAATAATTATTTAACCATTTCGATACACATAGTATCAAAGTATCTTTAGAGAAATAAATTTAGTTATAATAATTAGGTTTTGTCGCAAATAATAGTAATTAAATTAAATAATGTTAGTAAAAATATTGTTATATTTGCCAATAGCCAATTTTATTTTAGTTACAATTTGTTCCCATTCCAAGAGTCGTAGACGGGACAAAAAGTATACTATTGAGTTCTATTAAAGGTTAGAGCACGCAGACAGTGCGTGAATGTAGCGAGCGGTGCGTATTATCGAAATAATTCGAGGGCCGAGATAAAACCAGCTTTATGCTATCCGCGTGTCCGTACTGCGTAGTTTGCGAAGTCTAATGTCGTAATAGGTCAATGATATATGCGAAAAACCAGTATCGTAGATAAACGAATAAAGCAACGTAAATCGTTTTATCAGTTAATTCTTGCCTGTCTGCTGTATCGCGCCTGTGTCAACGTTCTGCCCCACTAACCTTTATACGCCGCGCTTCTCGACCGCTAACGATCCTAGATATATGTGCTTACTAAATAAATTAAAATATAAACAAACAATCATTCATATTTTGACAAAAACTAATACACAAATCGACAATCTTCTCTTTGAAGTCTGGATATAAAAATTATTAAAAGTTCCTTAGTACTTCTTATAATCTGGTAATATTAATCATTAAGTGATACTTAAATAGTGTTACAAGAGTCTCACGTGAGGATTAAGTACCGCTATTCAACGTATACCATGTGTATGGGAAAATGATGACACCATGAAAAGGAATTCTTATCACAAAACACTTTAAACTTGTTTGCCAATGCGGTATCATCAAACCGTAATTTGCTATCAATTACTTGCTAAACCATTTCTGAATCAATTCCAAGTGCTATTGACCGATAAAAGAAGTTTTATACCCTTGTGTTTTATTTACATTTCACCAAGTTTTAGGTTCCTTGAACTTTATCTTTTAAACAGAAATGTACATTAATGTTTTTCTATACATAAATCGCATACAAAATATTGAACTTCTTAAGATTATATCAATGTTACTCAATAATGCATACTTATATGATACTAGCTGTCACCCGCGACTATCAAAAATTTCAGCGAGTTTCGTTGAGTCGTTTTGGTGATACGTAATAACAAATATCCACCCATTCATTTAAATTTTCGCATAAATAATCTTAGCAAGATTATTTTTACTGTATTAATAGAAACAATAACTATCTTTATTTAAGATCATTGCGCAAAAGAAAGTAAATCGACCACTTTACTTTCGTCTCGGTAGTATTTCAAGAATGATCGCCACGTGGCGGTAAACACGTGTATCTCTCGCTCGTGTATACTGTCTCATTGTCTATATTGCACATGCTTACGATAATATACAATATATATTACTGTTATTGCGCATATGAAAGTTTAGCTACATTAAGGATGTAATGCGCCATTGGTGAGACGTAAATATCTGATAGGTCGAAATACGCAGTATTGTGTCTGATACGCAGAAGTGCGTACTTGTCTTTAAAGGGTTGTCGAAGGTCCTACTCCGTAAAATGTACCGTCTGGGAATTTCAATTTTGTATTACTTAGTGGGAAAAATGTTCGTATAAACTGTGTTTAGTATAGTAAACATTATCTGAATATGCTTATTTATTTACATGATGCAATGTGTTATTATCTACACGAATAGAAGATTAACTGACTGTCATTAGCTCTGGTCTTATTTCCTGGTAATCATAATGAAATCGTAAATTGGCAATTTTATTATGGTAATTATTGGATGGTTACGACACTTTACTAATTTATTAGTATAAACTATAATAATAAACAGGATGCACGTTTAGTAAGTAATTTAAACACACCACTGCGGTTTTAATGCATGGCTGATATCCGAAATATCATCGCTTGCAAAACGACCAATATATTCTATACGTCTAAAACATGATAAAACAAATAGATAGTAGACACAGTGCGAAATATGAGATAACAATTTGTATATTCTTGACGCTATGTATTACTTTGTAGTATCTATTCATTCATAACATAGAATAAGATTTCCCGTTTTATATTTACTTCCATTTGACACGCTTTAATCAACATAGACAGAGACGGGTCGGATTTGTCCGATATCGGTGTCGATTTTTGTTTTTCAAAATGTGTAAACTTTCTTTCTGTAATCTAAAACGTAGCTTGAAATTAAGCGGTTCCGTTAGGTGATCAGAATTGGAGCGTTGTTAATCATCGTGATGGTGAAAAAAATATTTGATACAAAAACCGTTTGCATGTTTGATTGTAAGCAAGTAAATTTGCAAGTTTATGTAACCCACTTTCATACATTAAAGTAAATAAATTGAGATAGCAAGTCATTGAAAGCCTTTCAGAGTAGTTTTAGATGTTGTACCTTACGTTCTAGATTCGAATTCTAATGAGTAATTACTTAAAGTTATGAGAGGGTGGAATTCTGTTAGGCTGGCTCTAGTATTGACTCCTAAAATAAACTTATAATGCAAAATATTAAATCCTAATTTTACAAGTAACTACTATTTTTAACAACAGTCTCCCAGTATTAAGTTTTAACTTTTAGCTTTTCTAGATGTTTGAAACTTAGTTACGTAATCCATCTTGTATCGATTATACCGATTAAACGCTTAAACATGTCCGGATCAAATGGTAGTCACATTATTAAATTACATAACATAATTGAATAAAGTCCCTCGTAACCTAGTGTTGGAACGTGATCTAGATAAAGTAGGGTTACACGTTCGCATATTCATATACATTTGTATATGTAAACAGTATGATATCGAGATAAGGGCGAGTCACACGCTCGAACGGAAACAAACTGCCACATTTACTATTTTGTTGATTACCTAAACGCTAAATGTATTTATATTATTTGAATAAATAACC